ATTTCCCTCTGTCCTCTGTGTAGTGCTGGAAGCGAGTGAAGCTCATGAAGACTTGCTCCAGGGATATCTGGCTCACCGAGTAGTCTTCCAAGCGGTACTTCTCTTTGGCTTTCTCCAAGGCCCCGAAGACCTGCAAGGGACAGCACGGCAGTCAGCGCAGGGCACCTGGGCCGCGGAGAACCCCGGCAGGTTGCGACTGAGAAAGCAGAGGAAGCTTCTTCCTCCAGGGAGACCCGGCGGAAGCGAAACCTCCCCGGGCAGGAGGGTGAGGGGAAGCCAGGAGATGGATTATTTAGCAGAGGACCTGACCCCATTTAAAAATACTTGGTTTATATATATTTTACACACACACACACACACACACACACACACACACATATATATATATGAGAGAGAGAAATATGTAAAAATATGTAAAATAGATGAGAGAGACATATGAGAGATATATATTATTTCCTTTTAAAAATATATATCCCTGAGCTGGGACCCCAGCCCAAGGTTTCTGCTCAATCTATTATGTGTATAGTATGTATATATACACCAGTGCCACACTCCCGGCAGGGAGATGCAGGGTGGTAAGGATGCAGCTATGAAAGACGTCCCTTCCTCCTGCCGCAGAGCTTTCGTGAAATATTCTGAGATGTACAAAAAAGAGTAAAATCAGCTCTTGCTCCCCAGGGAGACCCTGCTTTCCCTCTGAGGGCTGCGGTCAAGGGCAGCCAGTTCGGTGGGGCAGGACGGAGCGGTCCCAGCTCAGCACGTCCCGGGTGCTCGCACAGTGGCCCCACATGCAGGTGACCTGTTTGGGCCAGGAGGTGGTGGGAAAGGGTCAGGGAGAAAATCACTTGTTTTTTATACCTCACCTGGATTTCGGACAGATTGTGGCTCTGGAAGAAAAAGAAGGTGAGCCCTGCCCTGCGAAGGGGTGGGACGTGCTCCAGCACCCCCTTACCTGTGCCCAGCTGAGGTTCTTGTTGGTCAAGTGATAATGTACCATGCCCTGGTGCTCGTGTTTCAGGACGCTGCCTGGGAGAGACAAGCAAGGAGAGGCTCCGGTTAGGGAACTCGCTGAAGCTCATGAGCAGCATCCTGCCCTCCCTCGGACGGCAACCGCTCCAGCAGCTCACGGTACCTGGGAAAGTCTTCTCCACGAAGACCTTGAAAGCCTGCAGCTCGCCCTCCTCCTCACTCCGCGTTTTGGCCAGCAAGGTGTAGCCGCTGCCAAACTTGCTTTTCAGGTGCTGGGGGCTGCCCAGGCATTTGAACTGCCCGTTCACCATGATGGCCAGCCGTGTGCACAGGGCCTCGCACTCCTCCATGCTGCAGGACAGAAGAGGACTCGTTCAGCAGCGCAGGAGCACCGAGACAGAACAGCAGAAGCTTCTGGGACGGGGCTGGAAGTGGATTCCCTCCCCTCTGGGCTTTCAGAGGAGGGAGATTTGGGTAAAGCCAGCTGCTGCTGGCTGCAGGCAGTGCCCACCCACCAGGCTCTGGAGATGGGTCCCATCCCTTGGACCCCACCACCGTCCTGGCTGCTCCCCTATCTCTCATGCCACGCCCTGCCCGCACAAGTGTCACCTGTGGGAGGTGAAGATGATGGATTTGCCACACTCCCGTGTCCGTGTCACTGCATCCCAGAGCAAACGCCGGGCCACGGGGTCCATGCCGGTGGAGGGCTCATCCAGGAAGATCACGGGGGGACCACCGATGAGGGCAATGCCAGCGCTCAGCTTCCGCTTGTTACCACCGCTGCAGAATGAGATGGGAATGGGGACAGAGACCCTATATGAGCACAGGAAGAGCCACACAAGACGAGGGGCAGAGGGGATGGGCCGTCTCCATGTCTCCTCTCACCTGTAGGTCCTCACGAGCTTGTCAGCGTGGGGCTCCAGGAGCAGCCCTCTCAGCATGTTCTCCACGCAGCTGCCGATGTAGCGCTCGGGGATGCCCCGTAGCCGGGCGTACATGCTCAGCGTCTCGCGGCCCGTCATGTGGTCCAGGAGGGCATCGAACTGCGGGCAGTAGCCGATCCGCTGCTGGACCTTGGGGCAAGAGGAACCCAACGGGGATCAGCTCACAGGCAGGTCTCTGCAAGGAGGTGTCCAAGCCAGAAGGTGCCTTGGCACCCACAGGGCTTTGCTGCTCCTCTGCAAAGGTGCTCAAAGCGATGGGGACTGAGCTGCAGCTCCGAAAGCCCAGGTGAAACGAAAGCGAAATTCCCCTGTCGCTGGAGCTGCCGGTCTGGCAGGCATGGACACACGCAGCGTGCCTCGGGATGGCGATTGCATGGTCTCACGCTGCGTTTTCCCAAGCTGGTTCCTCACTGCGAGGGGCCATTTCAGGTGGCCCAGGCTCTCGGGAGAAGGAAAGTCCTGGAGGGTCTGTACCTTCCCCGTATCCTGGGCTCCTCTGGAGACAAGAGCCCAACAGAAGTCCCAGGGGAGGGAGGAAGCAGGGCCATGCTTTCAGGGCAGATCCTCCCCATGTTCTCTTTGCCTGACCTTGTCCGGGGTTGACAGTGGTAGAGCTACCCAGGGACTGAACTGAAAGCCTGGCCCCTGCTCATCTCTTGCTTCTCCAAAGGGGGTGGGCAATTCCCAGCGAGGAGACCGCCAGCAGGATAGCCGGGAAGTTTGACCCACTCGTTTTAGTGAGATCATCGTCCGACTGTGATCGCTAACATTTTTCACATTTCTAACTACGGAGCTAAACCCTTTGATGAAGGGTTTGCCACCCTCACAAGGTTTGGCTTCCATTTGTTTCATCTCTTGTCCCAGAAAAGAGGGGACTGCTTCCAGGAGGCCAGATAACGGAGAGCTGGGCCGGACAAGGATACAACGTCCCTAGGATATTACATCCACCCCTGACAACTGCAACCGTGTCCTCCTCGGAGGCAGTTGCAGGGTGGCCCAGCCCAGGCAGACACGGGACTGTCTGAAACGCCGCTCTCCACCCCTGCAGCCCTCGGTACCTTCTTGATGTTGGCCAGAATGCTGTGGCCATCCACAAAGGCGTCCCCTGAGGTGATGCTCTCGTCACCAGTCAGCATCTTGAAGGTGGTGGTTTTGCCCGCTCCGTTGAAGCCGAGAAGGCCAAAGCATTCCCCTTTGCTGACCGCCAAGGAGATCCTGTCCACCGCCAGCAGGGACTCCCGGCTGTCGTAGACCTGGTGGAGACCAACGCGCAAGCTGTGCCAGTCACCACCCGTGCCAAGCGCCCGAGGGCACACCAAAGCGGTGGCTTTGCCAGCCCCATGGGGACAACGGCTCAGCTGGCAGCAGGGTGCTCAGGAAGGGCCACACTCTCCTCACCTTGGTGAGCTCCTTGATGACCAGAGGGCTGCTGAGAGATGACAGCAGTTCTGGTGGCGACTCCAAAACCTTCTTCCTCTCATCTGCCACATCTCTGTCCTCTGGCAGCACAGACACCCGGTTCAGCGGGGCCACCTAAACACGAGGCAGAAAAACACTCTTTGCCACTTGGCTGCTGTTGGACAAGTGGGTTCCTCCTAGCTGACCCGGGGGAAGTGCTCCCAGCCCAGGCACGATCCATCTCTTCCATCAGCCACCTCCAGGGATGCCCTCGCTCCCTTTGCCAGCCCACACCTCCAACAGGATCTGCCTCTCTGAGCAACCGGGATGCTCCCCCAGGAAGATGATTTAGGTGAAGAGGCAAACAGTCCCTGGGGATTGGGACCGACAAGTGACACTTCATGCGGAGTCCTGAACGGTGGGAGAAGCAGGATTTGCATCCCTGAGCACCGTGGTTGAGCGATTCCACAGACCCCAGGAATTCAAACAAGATCTGAGCAAGCAACATGGACACGTCTCCAGCTCGCTGGGACTCCTGGGCTTGGTTTGGCATGAGAGCACCTTACTTCTCCCTCCCCCATGCTTCAGCTCACCCATTTCCGCCGCCTGCAGATGCCACAGACCAAAGTTCTCAGTCTCCAGAGAAGGTTTGTCTCAATGAGGAAAAGGAGGAAGAGGAAGGAGAAACCTTGGATGGTCAAGGAGGTCAGGTATCGTCCAATCCCAGGCGTCTCCCAGGAAAAGTAGTTCATCTGATAACTGATATCTGAGCAGGGGTGGAACAAAAATCAGACTTGGATCAGTCCACACTCTGGGGAGGGGCAGAGAAGCTCCAGAGAAAGCTGTGAGCCCAAAGCTTTGCCAGGCTTATCTCCAACCCAGCCCACACTGGGCTCCCTGCCCACAGCTCTTTCCAAGGCTCATCTCCATCTCAGCCCACACTGGGCTCCTTGCCCACAGCTCTTTCCAACACTTCCCACAGGAGGATTCAGGTCTGGAGGGGATCTGGCAGAAGATGCCCATTGGAGGCACGGAGAGGAGATCAAGTTACTCTTTCAGGACCATAACTGGGATTTCTTTACTCATCTATGAAATTTTCCCAAGCCCACATCTTCCTCCAATTCATTAGTAAGGAAGAGATTCCTTAATTAGACCACCTATGAGTATCAAATGGTGCCTGGTTTTTTTCTTAAAAATGGTACCTGGAGGTACTCTCCGGGTTGGGTTAGAGGCCCCATGATACTGCCCAGCTTCCCCACCCATCGCATGGAGATGCCCCCCAGCGCAGCTGGGGTGGGATGCCCAGGATGGCCAGGCAGGGCCCAACACAGAGACTCACTGAACGCCTTGCAGATGAAGATGGCTTCAACAGAGGAAGTGCAAAACTGAATGAACTCATAGTTCTGGTAGAAGTCACTGATGCATTGGCCCAAGCAGTAATTGGGTAAGATGAGAAAGACTTTATCCAAGGTTTTGGAGAGATCCACCAAGCCCAGCTCTGAAAGAGGAGCACAGGAGCATCCACAGACTGGAGTTAGCTGGTTTTAGAGAAAGATCCCGATTACATCCAAGTTCATAAGGAAAACCAACAAATTTTGCCAGTTTAATGGGCAAGAGTGGACTGCCGTAGGGTTTTTTTGCTAGGGTGGGGACAGCCCTGGGGTGAAAGAGTCCCCTTAGGGGCTGGAACTTCTTGGTGACGGCAGGGTACAGTACTGGGCAGGCAGGGAGGGCAGTGACCCACCTGGGATGCTCATGATGGTGACCGCGAGGAAGGTGGCCGTGCCTGAGAGGATGTTGAAGATGGTGAGACGGGTGTAGGCCGTGGCCGCCACTGAGAAGAAGAAGCTGAGGAGGTACATGAGGGGGATGATGGCCCAGCCATAAAGGAGGAAGATCAGCATCACATCAACAAGGTGGCTGTCTTGGGTGAAGGCTTGCACATCAAAGGCTTGGAATATCACCTGTGGCACAGCAATGCGAGGAGAACACACATTTGTCTTGACTGCAAGTGATGCCACCTTGTCTCAATGGCCCAGGCAGCAAGGTAACAGCAGCACCACGCTGACCCGGATCACCCCTTCACAGATGGTTCCTACCAGCAGCCCGTGCCTGTCCCCAGGGGAAGCCCCCCTTCTGCAGATTGGGGTGCAGAAGGGCAGATCTGGGGAATTCCACTCCGTGCTCCCACGTATTTGAGATATTCTAGTGTCCACACCCAAGTGTTCAGGTGCCAGAGGCTGCAGCCAACCGACTCAGCTGGTTGGCCATGGCCCAGCTCCCAGCAGGACCCAGGGACAGCTTTCTTGCTGGTCCTTTTCATTAACTGAGACAGTACCAGGGCCAGCTGGCCTCATCCTTTTCCCTCCGCCCACACGCATCCCAGCTCTCCCAGAGGAGCAGCACCCAGAGCTCCTACCCAAGGGGAGGATAGGCAGGTAGCAGGGTGTCAGGGGTGACTCACCAGCATCAGCGCACAAGGGATGAGGAAGTTGATGATGTCCCAGAGCAGGGCGGAAAGCCAAAAGTTGACCACGTAGACACCGCTGACAAACTGGACATGCTTGGCTTTGATGGCCCGCTCGCTGACCAGCAGCAGAGCGAAGGTGCTGGCGAGCGAGGCCATGCCGTACAGCAAGTTGATGGCAATGGCGAACCCAGTCTGGCCTCTACGGGGAGAGCAGTGGGGCAGGTTAGGACAGGAACAGCTGGACAGACCAACGCTGAGGCTACATGGGGACAGCACGCCCACGCCAAAAAAACACATCTCAGTGTGATGAGCATCTCCCACGCACAGCCCATCTAGCACACCACAGACCTCCACCCTGCCTTTGCAAGGTCCCATGCATGCGCCCTCTGGGTGCCCTGGATGCAGGATTTCGTGAAGTGTAGGGTCGTAGAGCCCCATCTGCTCTGAGCACCCGGGAAAAACCATCCCTAACCTCATCTGTGAGTATCTAGAGGTGCATACCCAACCACTGATACATGCATGGGGTTACATGGCTGCCAGGCTCAGGCAAGGTAAGTCATCTACACAGCTTTGCTCTCCTGACCTCCCGAGTGCAATCACAGCTACATTTGGATCGGAGAAGCTCCAGCCTGGCTCCTCCACCACCAGCAGGACAACCGAGCCAATCTGTACCCATGGGAGTTGCGAGCCCCAGCAGGAAAGCAAGCGCCGTGCCATCAGACATACTCCATGAGCTGGTCTTTGGCCTTCTCAGTGATGTTGCGGGGCTGAGGGTAGTTGGTGACTGTGATGGAGGCGTTGGGGCCCGCCAGTACCCTGAAGACAGCGTTGTCGGCCAGCATAAGGGCCGTGGCAGGGGAGTGATATGCCTGGTTGTTGAAGAGCGCGGTGACCACCGTGCGGTTCCCGGCTCCTTCGAAGGAGGCGGCTGTGATGTAGTGCTCATTGAAGGCTCCCCCTTCCTCGGAGGCTCTTGAGATGAGGTACTCCTCCAGGCCACCTGCCAAACACCACGGCTGTTAGAAGCAGACTCCCATCACAGGAGAGCTAACTGGGGCCAACTGGAAAAGACTCCAAGCAGCCCCAGTCCTGGTGGACCACCCTGGCTCTGACGATGGCCACAAATGCAGGGTTATGGAGAACACAGCCCTGCTCGGGTGAGGAGGGGTCCTGCCAACCGTGGGACTCCCCCATGCAGGAAAGGATACAAGGGGATACGTCAGATACGGACCTGAGCCACCCACACCAAGGGCCCTGGCAGGAGAAGCCCGTGGCTCCTGCACACCCAGCCGGGGCCTCGCCTGCTCCACAGGTGCCCCGTGAATCCTCACCCAGCACCTCCAGCGGTGACTGGCGCTGGGCGTCCAGCAGCTCCACGTACTGCTCCGCCAACCTCTGTGACAGACCCGAGGCGGCCGAGACGGAGAAAGGCACGACGGTCTGGCCGTAGGGCTCCAGCGTCAGCCTCAGCAGGGAGGAGTCCCGGGGCCCTGGGAAGGTCTTGGCCACGATGAGGGCAAAGGCAGTGAAGATCAGAGGCACGAGGAACTGCGCTGCCACCATCTTCCAGTTGCGCCAGCTGTACATGGCTCGCTTCATGAACATGGTGTAGAACTGCTGGCAGCACAGGTAGAACTGGGAGGGGAGAAGTCAGGTCAACGCCAGTAGTGCCAGTGGTGGTCAGTCCCACCAGCCACGTGTCCCCACGCAGCTGATGGGCGGGGGGGGAAACCCCAAAACCACCTCCCTGTCCTGCATGTAGCCCACCAGCCCGCAGCACAGCCTGCTTTCCAGCCAAGCCGGTAAAGGGATTAGCAGGGCAGCTGCTTGACTCCAGCACAGCAGCTCAGGCCTTCAAATCCCACGGCTTCCCGGTGGGACGCAGTCACTTTGGGATCTAAGGTGTTAAAAGCAGCTTCAACCATGACCTTTACTTTCCTCCACCTCTCAGCATTTGAGGTTCACAAACAGGATTACTGCGACATGGCTGCCTGCCAAAGCCACCGGGCTGAGACGCCTGGGAGCTCCCAGCCTGGCCCTTGTGAGCATCTTCTTTGCTTTTTAAACCCATAAACATCCTTCTCCCCTTCCGCCTTTGAGACATGCCCTTGAGAAGCACAGGGAAATTTATCACAGGTGCACAGGCAGTGGGCCACGAAAGGCTGCCAGGGATATGAAACACAAGCCCAGCAAGGGGAGGGAAACGTTTTTTCTCATCTCCCTGCTGGAAATCCCGAGAGATGTAGCAACGGCGGGTGAAAACTACTTTAAATCACCTGGGACATGTTCAAGAGCATCTTGAAAAAGGTCAAGAGCAGGAAAAATTTGTTTACTGAGAGAGTGGTCAAACACTGGAACAGGCTGCCCAGGGAGGTGGTGGAGTCACCATCACTGGAAGTGTTCAAAAAACTTGTAGACATGGCATTTCGGGACATGGTTTAGTGGGGATGGTGGTGTTGGGTTGATGGTTGGACTTGATGATCTTAAAGGTCTTTTCCAACCTTAATGATTCTGTGATCTCTGTAGACCTCAAAATTAACATGAGGAGGATGGCAGTGACCAACCCAAAGACTCTAAAAATAATTTGCCCTAAAGATGCAGGTCCCACTTTTCCTACACACAGCAAGACTGGCCGTAGGGGAAGCTCCACTTGGTAACTCCACTCTGAAAACCCCCTTCACGTCCTGTCCCCGTTCCTGCTGCGCCGACAGCCCCAGTGCTCACCCCGGTGTTGAGCTTGATGCTGGAGCAGTCCTCCGTAATGAGCGCGCCGCTGTCATCCGTCATATCTGTCATGCCACTCAGGCTGCTGGAGTCATCCATGGCCCAGTCGTTGGAGCGTCTCTCATGCTGGTACTGGAGAGCAGGCAGCTGGATGGCCTGGATATCCATGCTGGAGTCCACCAGCTTCCCAACCCTGCGCCAGAGGGGAAGCAGGTGATGAAACACGGACCCAGGCAGGATCAAGCTGTTTGGCGCTGGGGAAGCCAAACCCAAGAGACAAAAGCCAACACGCGCCCTGGAGAGCTGTGTAGGACTCTGCCGCCGCTGAAGCACGCAGGGACTGTGCCAGCGGCCGACAGCCCGCTGGCCAGCCTCCCTCCTGCCTACCTCAGGAAGACTTCCTCCATGGTGGTGACCGAGGCGCCGTAGCTGGCGATGCCCAGCTCCTCCCGCTTCTGCTCCAGCTCCGTGAACAGGGCCTCAAACCTGAACGGAGAAGCGAGGCGTTAGATGCTGCTGCTCCCGGCATCAAAGGCCAGCTCCACCCAGCACAGCAACCCTCTGCTTGGGGGCACCGGGAAGATGGTGCTTCCGGCATTTAAGGGGTGGCCGGCAAAGCTGTGCAACGCACCACCCTGGGTCCCCAGGCCTTGGGTTTCAGCACAGCCGAAGCCGAGAAGAGGATGAGAGGGGACACGCAGAGGTTAAGATGCTCTGGGCATCGGTCCTGCAGCTGGTTCCAGCCCTGCAGCCAGCGCCGGGGCTGCCTGCAGCACTCAGCACCCCCCTCCCCCAAGAGAGAAGCTTTTGGGCTCCATCTTCTGCTCTTCCTTGCCACAAGCAGCCTCAGCTATCCACATATTCGATTTTGGAGCCAAACCAGCCTGCCTTGTTTGTGCCACCCTCCACACCGCCACCATCACCAGCTATCAGCAACCGGCGCTGTCCCCCGCAGTTGCTGCGCGGGCAGCGACACGTGGCCCTGGGGGCACAAGAGCGATGTGCCAGCAGACACGGGGGAGGATGGCGGTGAAAGGAGGCACTGAACCCCATTTTCCATGACCAGCACTGCAGCCACGGGCTCGCACCTCCTCCTGCACCCTCCCAGAAGATGCAGAGCAGCTCCCTGTTCCAGCAAGCCCGTGACGACAGCGTGTGCCCCAATGCGCATAGACGTGGGGGACACCTCCAGGGAGGGCAAGCAGGGGACAACACCATTACCTGTGCGTGCTCTCCTTGGGCAGGATGAAGGACAGCTCTGCCCCGGCATTGCTCTCCATGGTGGCGTTGGGCACATAGTGACAGATGAGGCGGGAGATCTCCCCCAGGTTACAGTAGGGCTCCTTCACCATCACCATGTGATATCCTGCCCCTGGGCAGAGCCACAAGAGAAGGGAGAAGAGGGTCAGTGGCAGCCCAGCCCGGCCCTGGGGTGCTGGAGCAGAGAGGGACGCTAAGGCACTGCAGAGCATTGATGGCTTTGCCTGGGCTATGGACACGATACGAGAGCAAGTGTGGAGATGGGCCTCTGTCCTGGTTTTGGCTGGGATAGAGTTACTTTTCTTCCTGACAGCTGATATAGTGCCGTGTTTTGGATTTGGGATGAAAAGAATGTTGGTAACATACTGATGTTTTTACTTGTTGCTAAGCAGTCAAGCATGAGGAACTGGTTGGATGGTCATACCCAGAGGGTAGTGGTCAACAGCTCAATGTCCAGACGGAGATCGGTGACGAGCAGTGTCCCTCAGGGGTGCATGTTGGGACCGGGACTCTTTAATATCTTTATCAATGACACAGACAGTGAGATCGAGCACACCCTCAGCAAGTTTGCAGATGACACTCAGGTGAGCAGTGCAGCGGATGTGCCTGAGGGACAGGATGTCACCCAGAGGGACCTGGGCAAGCTCAAGGAATGGGCCTGTGTGAACCTCATGAGGTTCAACAAGGCGGGTCCTGCCCGTGGGTCAGGGCAACCCCCGGTATCAGCACAGGTGAAAGGATGGAGAGCAGCCCTGCTGAGAGGGACTT